TTTTTTTTTTTTTACTTTTTTTTTTTGATCAACATAATTTAAGTGTGCTGCAGAAGTTTTACTACAGGTTCAAGTATGCTGTGAAATAAAAAAGGTTGAAAAACACTGCTCTAGTTATTTGATTATACAAACTGGGAATGACTATTTAGCAGGTAATGATTTTGATAACAGGTCTAAATCACTTTATCAAATATCATATACTTTTTTTTTTGAACCAGAGTCTCCCTTTGTCACCTGGGTAGGAAGAAATAGAATCATCGTACCTCACAGCAACCTCAAACTCCTCGGCTCAAGCAATCCTCTTGACTCAGCCTCCCGAGTAGCTGGGACTACAGGCATCCGCCACAATGCCCTGCTAATTTATCTATTGTTTAGTAGAGACCAGTCTTGCTCTTCCTAAGGCTGGTCTCAAACTCCTGAACTCAAGCAATCCTCCCGCTCTGGCTTTCCAGAGTGATAGGATTACAGGCATGAACCACTGTGCCCAGCCCAAATATCATATAGTTTTATTCACAAGAAGTATCCTTCTCAAAGGATCGTTTTCATCTTATAAACAAGAAAAAAGTTTCTTTTCTATACTGCAAATGAAAGAAATGTAGTTCCAACCTCAGAGCCCTCAGTCCAAAATCACATGGTAATTTCTAGAAGTCTGTAGGAAGAAAGAGGCTATTTCTACTAGGCCTCAGGCAGAAGTACTCTAAACTTTCTGTCTCAACTTCTGACACTCTGCTTCCCAAGCCCCAGTGCTCTGGGAGCTGTTCACTAGTTTTCCAAAGCTCTTAATAGGAGCTTTTCTTTGGGGCCTACCTGCCCTTCACTTCTTCAGTGACCTCTAATTTCAGTAGTACGCACAACTCAACCAGGTTTTAAGATGGATCTTATTTCAAAGCAAAGTATATTTGAGTGCAAAAGACCACAGGCAACCCCTGCTACTATCACTACCCAGGGAATATACACACTTCAAAAATTTTCTAATTGGAATAAATTAATGGTGATATCTTCTAGAAGCCATCTCTTTTTAAAGCAGCCACCTCTCTACAGTTCTTTTTCCTTTCAAATCTCCAACCACCACAAAGTCATATATTGTGCTGAGAATATAATGATAGTAAGCACATACACACATACATGATCTTGACAAGTTGGCTACTCACTTCAAATAGGCTGACATATAGATTTATACTAAATCTATAAAAAACATCAACAAAAGCCTCCAAAACCTTGAAATCACCAGGCCAGGCAAAGGACTCTAACTTAGCAAATTTAGGATAATGTCAAAATACATGTTCATCTCCTTTGTGAGGTTATTTTCAGAAACTTGAGTATTGTTTGAAAGCACCTAGTACTATCAGAATGTCCTAAAGATTTTATTTTACCTTCTAGATTATATAAAATATAAGTATAACCTTCTATCAATAACGTTGCCATTTTAATAAATCCTAGGCATTTATCATCTGTCAAGTGCATGGACCACTCTAGGAAGCCAAAATATTTAAATGCAATGAAAGCCAACATGATACCAGAAAATAGTTTTATCTTCCTTCATTTGATGTTTCTGCTTTTTTTTTTTTTTGAGACAGAGCCTCAAGCTGTCCCCCTGGGTAGAGTGCTATGGCATTACAGCTCACAGCAACCTCCAACTCCTGGGCTCAAGCGAGTCTCCTGCCTCCGCCTCCCAAGTAGCTGGGACCACAGGCGCCCGCCACAACGCCCGGCTATTTTTTGGTTGCAGCCGTCATTGTTGTTTGGCAGGTCCAGGCTGGGGATTCGAACCTGCCACCTTAGGTGTACGTGGCTGGCGCCTTAGCCGGTTGAGCTATAGGCGCCGAGCCGATGTTTCTGCTTTTTTAGAGAAAGTACTTAATTTTGGAAGGAAAGTCTGTTTTTGACGGTATATTAAGGTATACAATGGTTCCCCACTGGCTTCCTTTATGCATCATCTCCTTTACTCTTCCTATTATTTCCTTGATTTTCTACTTTCAACCAATAAGTTTTCTCCTAAATATAAGAATTTTATGTAACTATTATAGGACTAATCCTATATGATTTCACCAATATGAGACTTACTTTAAACCCATTTCCAAAGTCTCCAATTAGTGTGAGCAGCATATGCTGGGAAGAAGACAGGACCAACAGAGCCAAGAGGCTGGCTTAAATTCATGGCCTAAAATCAACTATGTATTCATCCAAAGTCAATTTAGCAAATAAAGGTAACAGTATAAATGTAGAGAGCCTTTAGAGAAACTGACTAATCTATTTTTATACCTATTTTGGCCAAATTACTTTTAATTCTACATACTACATATATACATAGAAACTCTTAGCAAAGTTAGCAACTGTTGAAAGAATAAAAAATTAAGCCAGATCTTCCTAATTAGAAACAATGTGAGCCACCGGGGCATGCAGTAGCCCTCCAGGGATGCTTGTAGTACACTAATTTCAAGTAGTTTCTCCGGCCATTCACTGCCTTCGCCTTAAGGCATAATTCTATAGTCATTTTTAAAAATATTCATACCATTTTTATTTTTATTTATGCTATTCAAGGAAAATAAATACTCATACCCTTATTGCACGCTTACTATATGTTGAGTGTTAAGCTTTTTTTATATAATCTTGTGAGGTTTTTAATATATAATCAAGTACTTGAGTCAGCTCACTAGCAAAAGTCTAGACTAGAGAAACACTAAGTAATGCCTAGATGGGACTTTGTTCTATAGTATATACAATGATCCCCTATTGCCTATTTTTCACATTTTAGAATCTAGGATTCTCTTTGAGATGCTATGGAATTGTTGAGGACTAGTCCCTGAACTTTAAGTAGTTGCACTGTCCTGTTCTTAATCTAGGGACATAGACTAACTCACATGTAATATTTTCAAAGCTGCTGCTCTGCAACGTGCATCCCTCATAAAACCTTAATCACATAAATTTAGTTAAATCTTTTAAAACCAGATTGCACTGGCTTCACAGAACAAGTCTGGCCGCTTAGCTTCAATTCCCTGGAGAGAAGAGAGAAGCTCTTCTCTATTATGAAACCAGCTTGCCTAATCAAATTCCCTTTCAGAGAAAGAGGTCAAGGAGAATAACTGCTGTGCCATTTTTCAATTCTTCCTTCCAAGAAATGCCTGTGATTGACAGACACTATTTCTTTGAGATCCAGAGGCCTACCGCCAAGGTTAACTAATTGTTTCTTGGTTAAAAGAATAACACCAGATCTACCAAGCCATATGACTCTCCATAATCATAATATTTCACACATTAAGAAAGTTTTATAATTTTCAAAGCTAACATATATACACTCAAAATATCTCATAGGGAAAGTAGGACAGATCTTATCTTCATTTTACAGACTGAGAAACTGCAACAAAGGCAATGTATGACATCTCTAAGGTATGCATGTTAGTAGAGGATCTAAAAACTCTTACTTATGCTTTTATAGTCCTGTGATTTTCTACATATCACATATCTTTGCACTCTCCTTAGTATGTCTACTAATCCCATTATCTGCCCCATTTTACTGAAATATTTACGAACAGAAGATGAATAGCCTCTTCAAATAAATAGCTACAACAGCATGGTAGAGAGGTATTTAGAGATTTAGATGGGTTCAAATTATGCTCTTGCCACTTAGGATGTTTGACTTAGGGTACACTGATAACTAGCTTCAATTTTTTTTATCAGTAAAATTGATACGCCATCTACCTCACAGAATTCTAAGAATTAAATAAGTTAACAAATGTTATGTGCCTAATACATAAAAGGTACTCAAGTGTTAATTTCCTTCCCTGGAACAGTCCTGAAGAGACAACCAACCTCCAGAGAGAGTCTAACTCATTTGATTTCAATGGCCCCTAAATATTAAGGGATAAGGATTAGGGGAATTAAAGCACTAACTCTTTCCTGGCACTTACCTCAGGCATGTGGGATTTTTTGGCTGTCAGTCTAAAGAGCAGCTTTTAGAGATGCAGTCAAATCAATTAAGAAAAAAATAGGAAAAGGCAAATATGTCCAAATAAATAACATTTATCATAGGCACACAGAGTAATTATTCTACCAATTAAACATATATTTGAATGCCAGCTAGAATAAAAATAAGCTGAATTAATTTTTTTTTTTGAGACAGAGCCATATTGACTCTCCATAATCACTGTCACTCCGGGTAAAGTGATGTAGCATCATAGCTCACAGTAACCTCTAATTCTTGGGCTCAAGCCATTCTCTTGCTTCAGCCTTCTGAGTAGCTGAGACTATAGGCACCACCACAATGCCCAGCTATTTTTTTAGAGACAGGGTCCCTCTAGCTCAGGCTGGTCTCAAACTTGTGAGCTTAGGTGATCCACCTTGCTAATATTTAAGAACCTTTTAATGAATAAATTGAATTAGATTCACAGTTTCCCCTATGTTACTTTCATTCTCATGTTAAACTAAATGGAGAGAAAAGAGTAACATACAGCCCTAGTTAGAAAGCAATTTTATTTTATTTTGAGACAGAGCTTCAAGCTGTCCCCCTGGGTAGAGTGTCATGGCATCACACCTCACAGCAATCTCCAACTCCTGGGCTCAAGTGAGTCTCCTGCCTCAGCCTCCCAAGTAGCTGGGACCACAGGGGCCC